AGGGGTTCCCTGAATTTCCTCCACAGAAAACCATAGCGACGCGTTGTAACCCTATCCTGGGTTTGGGTTACATTATTGACAATAATATTGTATCTACCCTAACCCTAGCAAAGACCGTTTCTTGGAGCTAGTGTAGTGATGGGTTAGCTCTAGTAGTACTGTACCGCTGTACTATAGTATAGAGGCCCCATAGTAATTAGTATAGCCCGCGTACAGTTGCCGCAGGCTGGGCCTGCGGTAGCCACAAGTTCCCATCTCGCTTAACACTACGTGGCGTGTAACTAGTCGCCTCCTCCCTAGTCGCCTCGTCCCTAGTAGTAGTAACTCCTCCGCCGTGTAACTAGTCGGAGAGCCTGGTCGGTTTAGGCCTGCGGCAGTTACTGTACGCGGGCTATAGTACTAGAGCTAGTGATGGGTTACACCAGGGCTCGAATTAACCGACGGCACCGACGGCAATTGCCGTCGGTGCCCCTATCAATCGCCGTACTGCCCCTGAAAATCCAACCCGACCGACGGCAGTCACCTGCCTTGCCCTTTTGTGTAATTGCCGTCGGTGCCCTTTAATCTACTGCCCTAGTTTCGTTTTTAGTCAAATCAACATAACACGTGCACATGCGTGCCGTAGTTGCAATGATGAGCTAAAAACCGATAGTCGCAGGAGGGAATAATAACAGCATCGGATAATTATTCGCTCCTGATAGCGGGCATGTAAAATTTCGTGTTACTGTACTTCCATTAGCAGAGGTGGGTACAGGGGTCGGTGTTACGGTGTAAGCTTACATGGGGGCATATTAATTGTTTTGTACATTAAAAGCAAGACGATGTTGATGTACTAATTTGTTATGAGTTTTCCTTTATTTTACAAAAGTGCCTTGGTGCCCTTCTCAAATATTGAGAGTTGCCTTGGTGCCTTTCTATTTTAGAGAAAATTCAAGGCGATTTCTCACATGCCCTAAAAAAATTGCCTTGCCCTTCTCGTCGCTTAATTCGAGCCCTGGGTTACACCGACCAGGCTCCTCGACTGTTACACGTCGTAGGACAACGTTGTGCCCAGTTGCCTACGTAGTGGCTAGTGCCTCGCGACAACGTAGTCACGACTCACGGTAGCCCGACCAGGCTGTGCGACGGATTGTCTATACACGGTATTCTAACCCTAGCTTCTTTACCCCCGTTTCTTGGAGCTAGACTCACGGTAGTGTCACTGTCCACAACAAAGTTGTCACAAAATGTAAAATTTTTGTTTTAGCATATAGCAATGGTGTTGTAAGGCATGCAGTATCCTAGTTTGTCTAGTATACCTTGCGTAAATTTAATTTTTAGGAGAATCAATGAACTCACAGCAGTGAACTCAGCAAATGTTGACATCAGATGCGATATACGGCGGGCGGCGCTCTAGACTGGTACTCGCTCCCACCTTGATTACTCGATAAGCCGAGCCGAGCCAACCCTAAGTTGAGAGGTGGGACCGGGTACCAGTCTAGTGGCGCTCGTGCGTTGCACGCTGGGATAGGTAGTGATCACTGGTAACGCCCTCTATGGAGAGGAGAGCACGATATCGCGAGCGTACGTAGAAACCATAACGTACGTTGTTGTGTTGCTTATATTTGAAAAAGTAATCTACTTTAAACTAGATGTATCTAATCAGAATAGTATTAAATTAGTATAATTAAATAAGTATGGACCGTACAGACACGGTAATTAATGAATGAGACTACGCAACAGAGATTCACACTTACTTTTGGTTTACTCCCAATTCACACGCTTCAACCGCTGGCTTTATGAGTTCGGCTCTTCTATGTCGTGCACGCCACACGCACGCACGCACGCACGTGTACGTGCACACGCACGCACGCACGTCAGGGCCGTAGCTAGCAGGGGGCCAAAAAAGAACCCAGTAAAAAATAATGTGAACTTAAGGTTAGAAAATACTCGCTTAGATTATAAAAGATTAGAAATAAAGAGAGATTCCCTTGAACTTTCGCACAATCAGAAACATCACAGACCATATGAAATTGCAGGATGACCTCACATCCCTGGAATGCTAGGCAAAAAACGGGGGGATGCAGTTCAATGCAAAGAATTGTCATATCCTGAGCATTAGGAACAAGTCTCAGTATATGTACAGCCTCTGTGGCAAAATACTCAAGACTGTGCATGGAGACCAATCCATACATAGGTGTTCAACTGGCCAATGACCTCAAATGGTACCACCACATCTCAAGCACTACCAAGAAAGCATCATCTACTCTGGGCTTCCTGCGGAGAAACTTAATTACGCAGGTGTCCACAGCAAACCAAACGTATTGCATATCTCAGCCTAGTACGACCCATAATGGAGTATGGTGCAATAATATGGGACCCATACCAACGACAGGATATAGACAGACTAGAAAAGATACAACACCGTGCAGCCCGCTTCATCACCGGGGACTACCACAGCAGAACTCCAGGCTGTGTTACAGACATGCTATCGGCTACATCTGGAAAGCCTCCAAAACCGCCGTCGTGATATGCGACTAATTCCCTATCTCTACAGAATCATCAGTGGGCTGGTACCAGCAATGCCCCCGTCAGATTTTCTACAACCAGTTCAAACCGGCAAAAGACGAGTGAGACCACCTAGCAGATACAACAAGGAGGAGTTCATCAGTGCTCCCATCAACGAACGTTCCATCCGTCTGAACTCAAAAAGATTTAAAACGTACCAGCGTACAAAACTGA